CAGTGGTCATGGCTGCTTTTTGAGAGATCCCTAATGCTGCCAGATATGTAATATTAAAATTAATCCAACTTTTTTTTTTTTAATCTTATCGCCAGGATGTAACTGTAGAACAGAAAGCCTCAGTGGTTGTTAGGAGTCCAGATGCAGCCTCAAGACAATGGCTAGAAAGACTTACCAACAGTGAGGAGATAGGATAAGTGAAGAATTTAGATTGTTACCTCAAAAATAACAGCAGCACTCTCCCCCAGCAAAAGAAAACTGACGTTTTGGTATCAAGTAAATTGGCTCCAAGTAGCTATTTTCAGGACTTTACCACGACTACCAGAATTAGTCATCTGAAACTCCTGGTTTTCACTGTGATTTAGCAAGACTAGGATAGGAGGATAGGCACACGCTTTCAGTTTCAGCACATTTATTTAGGAATTAGCACTTCTGTTTACATTAGTTTTAAGAACTTGAGTCGTGTCCTTTAGAAACTAAATGAGGTATTTACGTATTTATTGTTCCATCATCTGGTATACAACACCTGATTTAAAAAAAAAATTATTATTTTTTTTAAAACCAGCAGCAATTAAAACAGCTTCAGGTTTAATGAAAAGGCTTATAGTTTTGGGCATTTTACCTGATAAACAGACAAGAAAACAGTAAGAACAGGACAAATGCAACATTTTATTGTGAAGCTAAAGCTATGTGACTGCTCATCATGCTTTTTTACATTGCTTATTAATAAAATGGTGTTTTAACATTTCAGAAAACATTCTTAAAAGAACAATGAAACAAAAGTGCTTCAAAACAACAAGATACAAGAGTTAACCCAATCCCAGACTGGAATCACCTAATATATTTAATGGGGGTGGGGTATAGTGTTTTGTCTTCGCCTTTGTTTTTTGTCATTTTAAACCAGATTTCTGAAAAATACTGACTAGCCCTTCACATGAATAAAAAAATTGAATCTTGTGGCAAAAACAGTTTCTGTATTTCCAGTCCCTTTGACAGGTGTGTGAGTATTAGATGAAGTACTTTCTTACCCACTTCTAATGGTAAAAAAAACCCCACAGAACCGAGAGGCTACACCCCAGTATCTTAGAAGAATACGTTTATGTTAACCAACTACAAAGAACATTGACCTTTTTCCTCAAAGCCACTTCTCTGAAACAGGATTTTAACAAGTGCATCTTATGGAGGCAAGGAAAGTCTTACAGCAAAACAAGGCTGATCACTGTAGTTTCCAGACATCATGTCAAGAATTTGCAAATCAAAAGATCAAACTCTGAAGAACCCACAATGTTTAGCCAACAGATTTAATCCACTGAAGGAGTGTATACCCTTGCCAATTATTGCCAAACTCAGGAGGTAGTTATTGACAAAGTAAACAGTTTCTACTTTAAGACAGTTAACAGTTTACATGAGAAGCAGGAAAAACACAATACACATTTCCCCATATTTCAGAAGATGATTTTGCATTTGCAGGAAGCGACAGTTTAACCTCCTCATCCTGTGGAATCATAGTTACAGTATTTAAAAGAAAAAATATTGACAAGAATGTTTAAAGAAAAAAAACTCTAAAAGAAAATGACTGATCCATTGGTCTTCTCTTAGGATGACCAGCAGATCACCCTAAGCATGAAAATTCACATAGATGAGTAAAACAACATCCTTCAACACTAAATAGCAGCTCAAGAGAACCTAACAATGAAATCAGCAACCACCTCTAATTAGCACAATGACCAAGATAACTAGTTGCATTCACTACCTGCTTGCTACTTTTCATTCCGTTTTTGATATCTGGTAGAAGTCCCCGCCACTAAAAACATCACAAAAGCTTGAGACCACCACAGACAACGAATCAAGATCTGTAACCTACAATAGCGCTTGCCACCTCCCAAAGCTGCCACATGCAGAAGCATCACCGAAGCACTGGAGCAGCTAGATAAGCATGTCTTAGGCACAACTATGCATTATCCATGTCTTGGGTAGGAAAGCACTGTAAGAATCTAGGGCACAAAGTTTCACCGTAGGTGGTTAAGGAAGTGCCAACTAGAATGCTGCTTTCCATACTGGTTGCAGAAGAGACATCTCGGTTAAATGTGCCAGCATATCCAACTTCAGTATTCCCAGTAAAAAGTACTTAAATTTCACAAGAGGGACTTGGCAGCAGTGTCAGCCAGTGCTAAAACCCGCTTGTTTAGAATAGAAAAAATACTATTTATTCTACACCAGAAGGTGAGGTTAACTGTCTAAGTTATACATATAAGAACTGTCATTTTAAAAACATTTGAGGGAATCTAGCAGTGAAATCAGCAATGGCCTCCAATTAGTACAGTGACAACAAATTGCTTCTCAGTTCAGAGATCACATTCTTTTCCATTTTGAAGTGTTACTATCACATTTATTATCTACATAAAGTAACTTGCAGGGCCATATTCAACAAAACTGTATTAGCGACTGACTTTCTGAAGTAGAGTCAGTTAGACATCTCAGGGGCAGAATGCCTATTTCTAATACACTGAACTCTGTAAAGTCTAAGAAACTAACAGGACAGAGAATTATGTGTGCATAAATATCCTATTTTAAGGCTTCTCTTTAATATTCAGCGTTGGTTTTGTCTTAGCTGCAAGGAGAGAACCTGTACAGGTTTGGTGTACTCTACAGAAAAGTCAACATTAGTAAAAGGGAACATCGTTAACACTTGACAAATTCTTGTTTTAAGGAGAAAAAGCATCACACAGGGCCTGAGTTCTTCTCTCCTGTTATGCCATGGAAAGCAGCAACCCACTGCCTGAGAAGACATTGTTCTTCCAAAAAGGCAAAGCTGTATGAAGAAGGTTGTTAAAAAAACAGGCATGGATTGTTTTTTTTATTCCCTCCAGTAACACTTTAAGTTACACTTTAAGTCAGTAGAACACACTTGCAGAGGGCCAGACAAGCTGCTTCCTAATCATCTTGAAAAAGTGGGTCAATTC